TCACAAATAACACTAGGACTAGGATGAAAATTAGTGTGACTTTTTTAAATTAAAAATACGAATAAATGAAGAAAATATTTACTAACATTGCCAACCGGATGACGGAATTATTTAAAAAAAAACAAACATAATTTGATTTATTTTGTTATTTTAAAAGTATTTAATTATTTTGTTAAAAAATTCGTTGATGCGTGTTCGTATATTTATTTACTATTTAAGCTGCTTGTTTATTTCATTTTTAATCGCAATCAACTTTTTAAAAGCTAATTTAAACTTTAACTATTCAACTCATTTCCACATTTTTTTGGTGAATTCGAATTCAAAATGCATTTACCTGCAAAAATTCAATAATATTGAAAATAAAATTTTTTAATTGTTATTCTTAAAATATAAATATATAAAATATTTTATGTAAAATTGACCGAAATTTGAATAAAGCAATATTGAACACTAAACCAATATTCATTGCTAGGCTATGACGTCATCTCTAGAATAAAAGAAATATATATAATAATATTTTACTCCTAAATATTGCTCACTATCTGTTCTTACTAAATATTTGAAAAGACTAAATTTTCCTATTTTTACCAAAATTCCTTTTCCATCTTTTTATTTTTCTGACGTGTCTAGAGTCTTATATGCTTATTTTATCTTTCCTGTCCTTTGACACTATCTGTTTTCCAAAATGACTTCTAGTAACAACCCAATTGCTCATTTTCTATACATATATAGTTTAAGAATTTAACCTCGCGTTATCAACGTTTATTTGAACTGTACAAAGAACGTTAAAACTGTACGAAGACAATTTTCTATAAATGATTACTTTGAAACATTTTTTGCCACAAAAACTGCCTCTACCCCCGCCACAGACAAAAAATTCCTCAAATTGAAATAGTGACATTGTTTGAAATAGTGGGTAACTCCTACTTGTGTTTAAAGTTTGTAAATTCAAATGTAGGAACCTTAATTCAAAGTTCAAAGAAGTTATTAGCGTAATTTCCTAAACTGCTATTTAGGAAATTTTATAAAAAATTTCGTTTCTAAAACTTTTTCTGAAATTTGTAACTGGCTGAGCCTGAGAGCTAGCTATAAGGACAGGTTGCTAACGCTGTCAGCTCCTTATTAAATATTATAAGTTTTCAGATTTTTTTGCAATATAAATATCTTTTCAAATTTTGAATTCACCAAAGATCGTTTATTCGTTCAGGTAGTAAAAATTCTTAACAATTTTTCGTTAGGAATATCTGATAATCAAATTGCAACATTGTTTTTTGGGAAAAAATATATAGCTACATGTATTTACATGGTTACATATTTTGTTCTATATAACGTCAATAATGTTTTTCGATAAATGCGGACTTGTACATAGAAGTTAAACATTTTTCAAAAAGTATATTTTTGAATAAATTTAAAAAAAGCAAAACTGGAATAAATAAAAAAGCGCCTGCTGGTGTGATTGTGGAAAGATAATGATGGATGGACAGGATGAATCGATTGCTTCAATATACTCCATGAATGCATTACAACCGTAACATAAAAATCTCAAAAAATAAAACAAAATCAATAGTAATAAAAATTATTATTATCATACCACAATTTTATTATATTTTTATTATATTATTATTCATATTTTAATTTCATTATAATTCATTGTAATCATTGTAATTGTAATTCATTTTAATATAAAATATAAAGTCGTTTATCAAGTCGTCGCCCAATCTACATACCAGGCAAAGACCTTCATCACAAGACACCTCAAACATATTAGCACTTAAGAAAACTTTATCATTACCGAACTAGTTTTTACTTATTGATCAGTTGATCACCTCACTTTTATCGATCACCTCACTAACTCACTAAGTCATCATTTAGTCTATTAATAAGTCACCAAATATATTAATACTCATTAAACTTTTTCACACACAGGCCTAGTCTTTATCTATCGATCACCTGACTAACCCACTAAGTCATCATCTAGTCTATCAATTTGCCGTTACTTCATTTTATATTCCATCGTCAATTACTTTTCTTTTATTTGTCTTATTAGTATTATTTATTTTATTCTAACATATTTTATTTTTCATGTTTTATCATTTCTCTTCCTCACTTTTTGTATTTATTTTCTCACTTATTTGTTTAATTTTGTTTCACTGCCTTGCATGTTGTTACAGTTTCTGCGTCTGTCAGATCCTGATTTTTAAAGAATAATAAAAAAAAAAAATTTAAACCATCACCCGCACCTTTTTAGCGTCAAACTGCTTGACACACTTCATGTCTTCACACACAGATTGACATATTTGGTCATGGCTATCGTCTAATTTCGAAGGTTCATGATTGTAAGAGTATTTAAAAAAAATAATAAATAGAAATTATTATGAATTTATTTAATAATAAAAAATGATTTCAGAGGCAAACTATTCGGTAGGTATTGCGGTAGAGGAAGGTAAAAAATGTTATCGTTCATAAGAATTCAAATGCAGATTACTTGGGTATTTCGTTATTAGTATGATATAAAATATAACGACATTTTTATAGCGCTCTTTTTCATTTAATAATTGCTACAAAAAATAATAAATTTTTGAAAATTGCGCAAGTACATCAAACCGAAACGCGTCCAAACATCAGCATGTAGCTAGAGTTAGAGTAACTCGTCCTCAGATTAAGTGTACACTCATCTTATTTGGATTTGCAAACATGAAGAAAAAAGAAAAAAACGTTGAAAGAAAAGTAAAGTAAAAATATAGGTATATTAATATTGATTGATTTGTTGATACGTAAAAGCGATTGAGAAAAGCAAAAAATAAAAAAAAGAAGAGAGAGAGAAAGAGAAAGAGAGAGAGAGAGAGAAGAAACAAGATAGATAGAATTGTTAGCATCTTTAAATTTTGTCAATGTATCAATTTTCCAACGTATAAGTGTAGTTTTGAAATTTGCATAAACATTGCCATACGTAAAGAATTATGATAATCATTACCATGATAAATAAAAGAAAACACACGTACACACACACATATAAATCTCTGCGTACGTAAAGGCACGCGCACACAGACACACACACACACACAAACACACACACCCATTATCGAGCAAGCGGATAAACAAGTCCCATACCCACGCCTGTTGTTTTTCCTGTCAATAAAATATGATCCATCTCCATACTATCTCAATGCAATTCACACACGTACACACACACACACACACACACACACACACACACACACACACACACGCACACACATGTATATATATATATAATCATGTATTATATGTTAGTGTATTCATCAATCTATCCTCTTTTCATCCTCATCTCGGTGCGCACGTACTTATCCATCTAAGTACGCGCGTACTTATCCATCGGTGCACTTACCAGGTATGCACCTGTACCATCCATCATGATTATTCATATCATCATCTCTTTCATTTATCCAATGCACTTAAAGAGAAAGAACGAGTGAAAGAGAGAGATAGAAAGAACGAGTGAAAGAGAGAAAGAGAGAGAAAGAAAGAGAGTGAGATTGAAAGAGAGAGAGAGAGAGAGAGAGAAAAAAAAAGGAGAGAGAGAGAAAAAAAAAGAAGAGAGAGAGAGAGTAAAACGAAGAAAACCAAAAATGAATGTTGAGGATGATGATGCAATGTTAGTTTAAATTTTCATCAATTTCAGTTCTTTTCATGTTAAATTGCTCAGATTTTAAAGAAAATAATAAACAAATGTTTTTAAAGTAAAATAATTTTTAATTCAAAGATACGAAAAATGCTGTCTTAAAACAATATACAAAAATAAGTAGATATATATATATATACATATAAAGACACATATAGACATACATACATATACATAGATACATAATACTATAATAGATATACATAGATACATACCTATACATGCATACGTAAATACATATAGAGATGTATTAACATATATTCTTACGTTCATGAATGTCTTGCATAAAATACAATAAACCTATTCAACATTACGCACAATATAAACGTTTAGAACATTACAGAAATGATTTTTAGTACTATCCACTGATCTAAAATAAATTAAATAAATGTTTTGTATTTGAAAAATAAAACAATAATTAAAAAATAATAATATACAAATTGAGGAAAAAATTTTAAACCGTCGTCAATAACACAACAAAAAAAGCCAGGGCCAGTAACAACAACAGATATAACTACCGCACCTACTACTAATACTACTACTACTACCACTACTACTTCTACACTACTACTTCTACTACTACTACTACTACAACAACAACAACTACTACTACTACTACAACAACTACTACTACTTCTACTACTACTACTACTACAACAACAACAACAACTACTACTACTTCTACTACTACTACTACTATTTTTACTACAACTACTACTACTACTTCTACTACTACAACTACTACTACTACTTCTACTACTACTACTACTACTACTACTACAACAACTACTACTACTACTACAACAACTACTACTATTTCTACTACAACTACTACTACTACTTCTACTACTACAACTACTACTACAACAACTACTACTACTACTACTACTACTACTACTACTAATATTATTATTATTACTACTACTACTACTACTACTACTACTATTACTACTATGACGACGTCGACAAGAAAAAAGCAGCAACACAAACGCAACAACTTCTCGACAGCCATCTACATTTTTCTGATGTCTTTCTCGCTGAACCAAGGTTGTGAACTTTTTTCATTTGAAATAATAATAATAATAATAATAGTTGCTGCTGCTGCTACTACTACTGCAGCTATTTTTACTGCTACTTCTACTGCTACTACTACTGCTAATACTACTGCTACTTCTACTGATACTACTACTGCTAATACTACTGCTAATACTACAACTACAACTGCTGTTACTACTACTACTACTACTACTACTACTACTACTACTACTACTACTACTACTACTACACCTACAATTAATAACAATAATTATATTCATAATAATATTTATAATAAACAGTTTCTTGCGATAGCCAAGAGCGAAAACTGATAGAAAGTTTATTCAAAGATTACGACTACCAAGTTCGACCGGTTAGAAACAATGGAACCCCAATAGATGTTGAAGTTGACTATTGGTTCATATCGCTGCTGGATATCGTTAGTTGATGCTTTTGTTGTTGATGTGGTGTTGCTGGAAGGATGGGATTGTTTTCGATGTGATGTTGTTGGTAGGTTGAGATTGTTGTAAGTGTTGTTGTTGACGTTTTAGATGTGATGTCGCGATGATGTGATTGTCGTTAGTGTTGATAATGTTGTTGGTATTTCGTGACATTTTTTGGGCGGTGAAATGGCGTCTGGTCTAACTGCAACACTGGCTTGGTTTGATTACAACATATTTACACATGTAACACATGATTACAACAACATTACAACAACATACAACATTACGACAAACCTTCTTATCAGCAAGAGAAGAGTCAGAGCATGTCAGCTTTCGGCTGGATGCAGATGGTTTGAAAATTTCTGTTAATTTATTTATTTTTAATTAATTAATTAATTAACGACTGAAAAACTCCCCCAAAACGGCAAAAGGTCTGGAGGGATGAATTTATTGTGTGGAACATGACGCAGTACAACTTAACTTACGTAGTCGTCAATGCCAAGGATATCTGGTATCCTGACCTTATAATCAGGAACAGGTGAGTAAGTAGTGGAGAAAAACTACATTTTCGGTAAAAAATTTTCAATATTTTCACACTTTTACTCACCGAAATGACGCACTAGAGTTCTAGCTAATTAAAATAAAAACTACACCCAATTAGAATTTTATGAAATTTTTGAATCCAATTTATGCAGCGCTGATTCAGTATACGGAGACATCTTCGACAACAACAAGTACAGAGTGCCAATATATAGTGACGGGTCGGTTTATTTCTACACAGCAGGACAGACGAAAACATTCTGCTTGCTGAATACCTTCTACTTCCCATTCGATAACCAGACGTGTTTCTTTCAAGTCGATAGTTGGACCTACACTAACACGCAGGTTACTCTCAATACGACGGATGGTATCAAGATGAACCTTTATAACAACAATGGACAGTGGATTTACGAGGGTAACAGCGTGAGTGGAAGTTTTTGAGTTTTGGTCTCAGTTTTTTAGATTTAGAGTTTTTTAAATATATATTTATATGTATATATTTCACTTCAATCCTAATTTTATGTTCTTTGTGTTAAGAATTTGTAGCTACACCTTAAAATGGAATCTGAAATTAACTAAAAATATCTTGAAATACATTTTCAATGAAAAATAACTTACGCGTTAATTTTATATCTTTCAAACAAATTTTTTGCCAATTTTTCTGCTAATGAGTCTTAGAATTTAAAAAAATTAAGCTTTCTTGAAAAATTTGATTTGGATATAAATTGCTTAACAACTTAAATAAATTTAAAATAATTAACTCATTTTAATGAAATATTCGAAACTTTATGAAAAAAAAACTCCACCCAAATTAGTTTAAAGTTTGCCACGAAAGTTTCAACGGTGATGTTTACGACAACATAAAATTCTTCTTTTTTATAAAAAGGAAACCCCTCTACTACCTAACAAACCTCATAATTCCGTGCTGTCTCATGTCTGTGATTGTTCTTTTTGTATTTCTATTGCCCGCCAGTGCAGACGAGAAGGTATCTCTCAGCATCACTGTTCTCTTATCGTTCTCCGTTTTTCAGTTGCTGGTCGCCGGCAACATGCCTGAGACATCCGAATACGTTCCGCTGATAAGTTTGTGGATATTTTTTTCAAACTTTGTAAAATTATGATTAAAAATTTGCTAAGATTTTTTTCACAGATGGTTTTTACATTCTTGCCATTGGACGCAAAATCTTTATTCGATTTTTTTATATAAGTCTATCAAAAATTTATCGTAATGATCGCTAGCACACGAATAAATTAACCAACTAACTACCATCCACCACCAAATAAACCCCACCAGCCATGTACATAACGTTCGTGATGATTTTGTCATCCATGTCTCTCTTCTGCACCATCATCGTCCTCATGATTCACCATCACGATACCCAAACACCTCCGCCGAAATGGCTTCAAAAATTTGCTCTGGAATGGTTTGTCTTTCTTCTGTGTACAAAATCTAAACTTGTTCCTTGCAGGAAAAAGAAGAAAACTGAAGAAAATTCCAATGAAGTTATCGTCAAGAAATTAGAAGTTGATTGTGGAATTCCAAATAAATCGATGGTTATTGACAGTGAAAAGTCTATAGAAATCATTGAAAAATGTACGGCTGAACTCGAGGTGAGAAATGCTTTACGAAGGATTTCGAATTTTACCGAACGACAACTTGACGTTGAGTGCACGGCTTTCAGTGGCAACGTCGCGAACGGTAGTGCAACGAAATTGGATGTCGAAAACATCAAGAATATTTTTGATAAGAACCATTTGGGAGTCAGCAGTCATCACAATATCAGTCCTGGAAACAATGCTGATGTCAGCTGTGGAGTACAAAATTATTCAGCTGGTTTATATGGGCCCAACAGAATTTCTAACAACAATATTCCGAAAGATGTAAACACCCAAAATAATTATGTTATCAATATTTCAGTAAATTCCAACAAATTTGAGGACGACAACAACAATAATAGTGATGAAAAAGCAGATAAAAATGTGAAGGAAACATACTCCAAGGAATCATCAGCAGAAAATAATCAAAATGCATCCTTACCAACACATTCAACCATCGCAACAAACTCTGTGGAACGAGAGCTGAACCAAATAAATACTGACCAGACTGTTGACCATTTTGAATTTCAAACAAGTGTGGATGTTGAGCCAACAACCAACGGTCGAAACGGTTCATTCAGTGGAAGAAACTACAAAGAGAAGAGAAATCTTTATTCGAGCACAAAATCTAACGAAGTGAATCAGGAACCGAACTATAGTTGCGACGCTAACAACAATTACATTGCAGGCAGTCTCAACAATGTTTTCATTAAAAGTGGCAGCAATAGATGTAGCGGTAGCTTTAGCATGACTAGCAGTAACAATAACGACAGCAACAAAAAAACTTCAGAACATAAATCTTCCGACCGCGACGAAACTAATATGATCGAGGCACAACACACCTCGTCAAAATTCCGCCAAAAATTTCATCAACATAACAAAACCGATTTCTTCAAATCAACAATCAGTCAGTTGTCTGATTCGGAAAGGAATGAAAAAATGCAAATGTCATCCATCTTCCAACTGGTTACGGCAAGTTTGGCGCGAATAAGTTCAGAAAAGAGATCGGAAGAGATAAAGAAACAGTGGACCAACATCGCCATGGTGATAGATCGGCTATTTTTGGTCATCTTCACACTGGTTACCGTTGTTGTAGCTGTCGTTTTGCTTGGCTTGTATCCGCAACTGGGACCGAAAGAACTGAGGGATGTAACATGCGAAAGCGACTATAAAAGAAAACATTAAAAAGTGAAAGCGTGTTGTACGTCTGTGTTGTACGTCTGTGTTGTACGTGTCTTGTACGTAGGAAGGATTTCAAACTCGAAAAGATTGCCGCTTATTTAGTTACTACCACTGCTGCTTAAAATTTTGTATTTAAAAAAATTTAAATCAATGACTAAAAGGATATTGTTGTTGATGAATGGCCAACCCTGTCAACGTTGATAGTGTAAGGCGCCGTGTTGTATAACAAACAATTTTAAACAAGACTGAAAATATTTGATGTCATTTTATATTATTATTATAATTATAACTATTATTATTATCATAATTATTATTATTATCATAATAATTGTTCTTATTATCATAATTTTATTCAACTGGCTGTTGACATTGAAGACATATGTAAGAATAATTCATTTGAAAAGTATGAAACTTTGATCTCACGAAGATATTGATGATGAGTGTGTGTCCAAATCAAATATACATCGATCGATCTACCTTTTATTTAGATGTTAATAAAATTTGTTAAAAATTTTTTTAAAGGTGATTAACATTGTGCTTCGTAAAATATATATGTTGGTGTTGCTGGTTTGCTCCTGCTGTGATGGTTTGCTAGTGTTGTTGGTTCGTTAATGTTGTTGGTTCGTTAGTGTTGTTACTACTATCACCATTATTAGAATTATTTATATTAATTTTGCTATAACTTTTTAAAAATTCATCAGTTGAGTGGCTGTAAATTTTCTCTAAAAACGATTTTAGCAAGTGAAATAGCTTCACAACCTGAAAAATTATTCGCGAATTGGAAAAAACATTAAAAAATGTGAAGTGCTCCACTTTAAAAACGATTTTGTTATTAATAGATATTTAAACTATTATTTAAAATCATCCGACTCTTGATTTTTTGAGTACTTATAGTTGAGGCAATTCAAATTTTGAAAAGCTGCTCTTAAGAAGACAGGTTGGAAAAGCTTTATAAGTCGTCAGCAAGTTTTTTTTTCAGCGAGTCTGTTTCTTCGAAAAAAAATTTTCCGACAATTATTTCAAAATGAAAGTTATATTTGTGGCCGTTGTGGTTGCTTTTGCAGCCTTGGTAGTAACAGCTGAAGGTCTGTGAACATTTTTAAATCTAGATTTATTAATATAATTTTAAATATTATTTTTTTAAAGAGTCATTAATAATTTTAATTTTAAAAAGACTTTTCAAAAAATACAATTCTTAGATGAAAAGTGCAGAGAGCCAGTCTGTCCAGTCAGAATCCCATGCATATTCGGAAACAAGATGGACGAAAGTGGCTGCCCTACGTGCGAGTGCGCGCTTAATCCGGGTAAAAAAATCATTCGTTCATTCAATCATCAACCCATCCATCTATTCAGCCAATTTTCATTCTCTCATCAATCCATCCATTCATCAATCAATGTATTCATTCACAAATTGACCAATGCATTCATTCATCGACTTAATAGATCAAGGACAGTGCATGGATTGCGATTCTTTGACTCTATGCTACAAGAGTAACAAAGTTAGCTATGAGGGCTGCTATCTCTGCATTTGTGCATAACGATCAGACGTGATGAAGATGATGATGTAATGATGATGTGGTTGATGTAATGATGATGTAATGATGATGTGGTTGATGTAATGATGATGTAATGATGATGATGTGGATGATTTAATGATGAAGATGATGATAACGAATATGGCAGCGAAATCACATTATTGATGTTTTTATAACAACAATGATTTCTTGTGTGATAAGGTTTCATTCAAATGGTTACAGTTACATTAATTTACGTAGCTCTTCTTACGTAACAGTGATTAATTTAATATGATTAAATTTGCAACTTTGATTTAAATTTGTACAAGAAATCGATAAAAATATTTCTTCGAATTTGTGAACTTGATGAGTTAATAAAGTTTTAAGTCAAAACCAAATTTAGAGTTTTTTGACTTTGAAGAGGAAATTAGTTATTGATAGTAAATAAAAATAAATAAATAAATAAATAATAGAATAAATAAATAAATAAAAGTATTTTTATCGTCTTAATATCAATAAAGAACCAGGCGACTAGCGACTATTAAACTTTGAAATCGCTTTACGTGCCTGTTGTCTGCCTCTACAAAACAAGCCTATACCATGCATCTGAAAAAAATATTCATAAAGGTTGATTGTCGCAAAAATATAATTTGACATGTGAAGCGTACATTCAAGGCCTTCACTTATAAGGAATCTACACGAAAAAGATAAATTTAACCTGTTTTATCTGTAGAATACTTGAAGAAATCACTTGTTTTTATAAAGAAATTATTTAAAATCTTGAAAATATCTCTTTTCTAACTAATTATTGTCAAGTTGATGCTGAAAATTGTAATATTTAAGGGTCTTCGCTAAGTAACTGGGTGTTTTTGTTAAATTAAATACGTGTAAAGGCCCTACACTGAATCAATAGAAGTCTTCCTACCTGGATATCTGGTGTGGTCCTATTTTGAAATAACCGGGCCCAAGTTCAAAAGAAAAATGAATGAATGAATGAACGATTGAATGAATGAGTGAGTGAGTAAATGATTGAATGAATGAATGAAGGAATGAATGAATGAATAACCAAATAGAGAAAGACAAATGAATACCTATGCGTAATGAATCATAAAATGTCATTGTAGTAAAAAATTCTTCTAAAATTTTCAGCACTTGAACTTTAAGAACGATATTGACTAATTAATTAATTAATTAATTTATTAATAATCAAATTAGTAATTTCTGTAACATTGATTATTTAAAACAGAAAAAAATTTCTTTGATGTTTTTCTATTATGAAACCGGGCCTATTCTAAACAATCTTTCGCCTGGTTTTATTTTCAAAATATTTACTCAAAAAACACTTTTTATTATATATATATATATATATATATATATGTTGGTAATAGACCATAATTTTTACAATATTCTATAAATTCTACCGAATGTTTGGCGTTATAAATTCTTTCCGGCATAAGTTTAGTTCATTCTTGACAATGCAATCAACATCACAGTGATCCCATTGATTCAACAATTCAGTTAGTTGATTCGACAAGTCTTGAACTACCTTCTTTTTAACTTCTAATTCTCGAGAGAGATGGAGCAGTCGCTGCTCGCGATCTTGTTCGATTGTTAGATTACGTCGGTTGGTCGCAGAACTTCGCCAAACATTCGGTAGAATTTATAGAATATTGTAAAATATATATATATATATATATATATATATATATATATGCTTTTGCCCAATCAAAATTTTAATTACAATTATAATGTAACATTAAAAGCTTAATAACAACGAATATAACACACCAAAATTGAAACGTAGATGATCAGACTGAGACGAAAATTTGAAACTAGTAGTAATTAAACCCACTCCTTTCAACAAAACTTCACAGGCATAAAAATAGGCATAAATCACATTTTAGCATAACAATGTCAAACATTTGCGACGCAATAATTTTGAAAAATTTTCCATACTTGAATTTTAAAGAGACTATTGTTTCAAAATGTACCATCACCACTGACTGCTTCATCTAAATACTTCATCTGTAATATTGTTATTTAAAGTGGAGAGTCATAATTTTTAGTTTTAAAATTTTTAGATGTCATTTTCTATAATTTCATCGTAAAAAAATGAGTGCTATTTCTGTAGCAGCAGTAGTCGCGATGTTGGCGTTTGGGGTTGTGAAAGCCGAGCCCGAACGTTAGCTACAATTAATTTTTTTATTTTTCTTCTTTTTTCAAATTTTATTAAAAAATTCAGATACTTCATTGCGTGTAGCTATAGGTTATTTTACAATAAACTTTTTTTACGTAATTTATTGAAAATGATGAAATTTAGCTCGAGATTATTGTAAAATCAATACAGTTTTTTAAAAATCCCAAAATGTATAAAATTGTTGTAAAAATTATTAATCAAATTTAATAATTATAAAGAATTTTTTAATACTTTTGTCAAGTCAGTTAGTGTGAGGTGTCCCATATACCGTTGCGCGGCTGATTTCATGTGTCTATACGGTGGGTTGAGAAATGACGAACGTGGTTGTCCGACATGCCAGTGCAAGATAAATCCTGGTTAGAGTCGTTCGTTCATTTGTTCGTTTGTTTGTTCGTTCGTTTGATAAGTTGGTTGTTCGTTCGTTTGTTCGTTCGTTCGTTCATAGTTCATTAAATCGTTTGCTTGTTCGTTTGTTGGTTTGGTCTTTCTGTCCATTCATCAATTCATCCATCCGTCTATCAATTTCTTCATTCATTCATTTGTTTATTCACTCTTTCATTCATTCGATTACTCACTCTTTCATTCATTCACTCACTCCTTCAATCATTCATCATGCAGATCAGAGCAAGTGTAGAGATTGTGACGCTATGACAGGCTGTTCCAGGAGTCGTTCTGTTGATGAGCAGGGCTGCTATTTATGTATCTGTGCCTAAGAAAGATGATGAGGTAGATGGTGAAGAAGATAATGAAAAAGATGATGATAGTGATGAAGGTGATGATGAGGATGATGATGAGGAAGAGAGAGAGATAGAAAATGAGGATCTTTTACGTAGCAAACATTCGAAAATTTTTATGTCAAACATAATTCGAAATGATTTTTTTAGTCCAAACAAGAAAGTTTAGGTTTACAATCATAAAAAATGTTTCATTTGTTTATTTACGTATTCGTTCACGTATTTTCACTCATATTTATTCTTTCATTTATTCATTCATTCACTCATTCATTCATTTGTTCATTAATTAGTTTGTTCGTTCGTTCATTCATTCATTCGTAAAAATTTAAAAAATAGTTTTTTCATTCGTGAGCTTAACAAGGCACTTTAAAGAGTCTAAAAAACAATTTCGTTTCATCATCCTCTCTATCGTCATCACCATCTTCATCATCACCATCTTCTTCTTCATCATCATCTCCATCGTCATAATTTTCATCTTAATCACCATCTTCATCTCATCATCCCCTCAAAACAATTATCATTATAATTATTTTAAGCACATCCTCAGGCGAGCCTCATAGCAAGTTATAGCCAGATAGACGACGGCATTGTATAAAACGAGTTAGTAGACAGATAAAAAAATATTGCGAGTTCATCAATCGCGGTGCAGAAAATTGTAATAGAAACGAGAGTAAAAAAGTTTATTTTCAAAAGTTTTTAAAAACTTTTCAATTTTTAAAACAAGTAGGGAAACTTTTTTTTTTATAACTAGCTTTAAGGTTATCGCCATGAGTTGTACATGTACATACAAAAGAAAAGAAATTGATTCGAGATGAGGATTATGGAGATGATGATTAAGACGAAGATAATGTAGATAAAATATTTTTAAATTCTTCGTCATTACCCTCATTGCATTCATCTCTCTATTTCAACTTCATCATCATCATCTTTATCATCTTTATCATCATCTTTATCATCATCGTTGTCGTCATCTTTCTCTTCTTTGCCATCATCATCACCACATCGTCGTCACTCTATCTCATTTTCAACATCTTCATCGCCGCCAGGAAAAAAAATCCGAAATATCAGATGGAACGAGTCCTCGTTATTAGTACCTGTATTCGTCATTGTAGTGGTTGTTCGGCCTCGATGCTGAGGTGGTTTCTGAGCACAATCCCAGTCAATAACATTGATTTAAGAAGAACAAATGCTATGTTACACGCATAAATATTGTTGTGGCAAATTTTATAAGAAAAATATCTTTTTCACAATTTTTTTTCATATTTTTTCAGAATTATTTAATAGAAAATGCGTATTCACTAGCATGTATTATTGTAGATCGAAACATCCTGAAATACGTTTTTTGAATGATTAAAAAGATTTGTATGGATTGTGTGTTTGTTTATACGTGTATGTGTGGTGTGTATGTATGTATATATATCATACCATATGTACCGTACTTCAATACCATCAATGCCATATTACCTGAGATTCGCTTTGTTTTAACTAACCAATTTTTTATATACTTATACTTGTGTGTGTGTGTGCGTGCGTGCGTGTGTGTGTGTGTGCATTATTGAGAAAACAGAAAAAAATTGTCTGTCACTCACCCGCCCCTGTGTTGTTTGTACGTTCAATAAAATATGATCTCTCTCCATTCATCATTCATTTATTTATTCATTCGTTCGTTTATTCCTTCATTCATTCGTTCGTTCGTTTCATTTGTTCGTTTCTTCATTCATTCATCCATTCATACATACATCATACTGTATATATATATATATATATATACATATATATATATATATATATATGTGTGTGTGTGTGTGTGTATGTATGTGCGTGCGCGCGTGTGTGTACGTGCGTATGTGAGTGCCTTA